TGTTATGAGTTGTGGCATTTCTTCGTTGCATCCAGTCCTTCCATAGATATAGAAAACTTTCCTGCAAGTTATTCTTGCTCGGTGGGTCCTTGTGAGCGCAAGCCGGCCGCATGACCGTGGACGTAAGGCCGTAAGCGGGCAAACAGCCACAATTCAAACAAGCGACGCGTATCGACAGGGAGATGGGCATCGATAATAATATCCCTCTTTCTCCTGTTCCACTCCCTGCCCTCCTCGAGATATGAGCCTTCCTCTTTTTTCTATGTCTCTGGCCAGCATCGACACTCCGAAAGGTCGTCTAGGACTCTCCCGTATTTTTGCATGACAAATGGTCTGACCTCGCGACTTGTGCAACGTCTGTCGTCGGAGTCCTCCTGAACACGCAATGAAGTCTCCACCTCCCGGACGTACTCGAGCGAAATCCTATCTGGCAGAGTCGCTATCGTACGAAAGCCCTTATCCGACCCAGGAACGAATATCGGGAATTGTTGACCGGCACCGGATACGGGGTTGTGTATGTCAACCGTACCCCTATAAACATTGAGGAACCCCTACGAGCGGACGGCGGCGTAACTTTCACAGCGGTTGAGCTATGGGAGACAACTGAAGGAACCAAGGCAAGGCGATATTTTAATCATGCAAACAATGAACAAAAGAACTTATCAATCCTATCGCGATTTGCTCCTTTCCCCCACTTCGTCGGCGCACGAAGCATGTATACTACGTGCATCCAATAAGCCGTGGTTCCGGCCTCCGCTTGCCCTTCATTCGAAAACTCCTCGACCAATCAATATCACATTTTTTCCGCCAAGGGAGTGTTACACACCTCGTCTTAGTCCATCATATGGCCCTCTTCAATGGACGTTGACGCGACTCCCGGTCGCGCTACTTCATGTTCGTTTTTAGACGTTCTAGACCGGAGCGACTAACAACCGAATTTTAGTGAACAACTTATAGGAAAACATAAACCGACGGGTAACATACCTCGCGACGGGACCTCTCATTGGTAGCGTTGCCCTCAAAGGCTGAAGGCAACGCGTCGTTGTCTTCGATATCGCCGTCGTACGCGGAAGATGCATCGTCCACGTCCGACTCCTCCATCTCGGCGTCCTCTTCCTCGTCGGATGCCCGATGAGCCCGATCCGAGTAGTGATTTACCTCTCCAAGAACCTCGTTCTCCGTTTGGATACCACTGTCGACGATCTCCATGTCTTCCCCATGCTCGTCATCATCGCTGCTAGGGTACTCGATTTCTGTGTCGAGGATGTCGCTCGCCGTCTCCGAAACGCCTTCCGCGATTTCCATCTCCATCTCCATCTCCTCATCAGCAGAGGAGTCATGGTCGCAAATGATCTGGCGCAGGTCCTCTGCATTGGATTTCCGTGCCCACTTTGCGGGCAGCACGAGCGCGGACATGGCTATGAAGGTCGTTGTTCAAGTGTCGGCCTATCGATGTTCAAGGTGAAGCTGAAGGTGCGTCGCTGATCTTGGGCGATCGCTTAAGTGCGTGTCGGGCGATGCCGGTCTTTGTGGGCGTCGCCATCCGTTGTCCTCGCTTGGATAGTGTGATTAAGCGATCAAAGGTCTTTCATATTCACTAGAGTAATGGATAAGGGCTGACTTATGGTCTCCCATCAGGATATGTCACTATCTTCGGCGGGATGTAGTTTTCGCATTGGTTCATTCGAATAGGTCGAGCACGCGTTGAGTGGCGCTCTTGCGGTCAATCGGATTCATATGACTTCCACCCGCGGACCGTATAATCGTCCCAGAAATCATATCCGGAACTGGACCGGCCTTACTGTGAGAGAGCCCTTGCTCTGCTTTCATGGCGAGGCGATCAAAGAGACCACACAGACGTGTTATTTTCCACCAGACAAGCAAAGACAAAACAAAGTTCTCAATTCAGCCTCTCCTCAAAACTTTCTGTGCCGACTCTACCATGCCTACCCACCGACACATTCATAGCCCACATTCTGAAGTCCCCCGGTCAGGCGAGATTTGCTGGCTCGCACCAATGAATATGCAGGTTCTCTCCGATAGGTGTCTACCACGCACCTTGTCCTGTATATTGTCGGTAAACGTGGATTCTAGTCGTATACATCCATACTCCAGTCTGAGATGGACCGCGAAGATAGCGCACTGTCGGAGCCATCGTCGCTGTAAGTGGTGTCGGAGGACGATCTGGCACCTCCAGGCACCAAACGGACGCGCCTGCGGGAAGTACCACTGGGAGCACTCAATATTCCTTGTTCCTCGGAAGTGTCCCATTCCTCGGTTGGCCCCGGATGGCTGTCGTGTTGTTGGATGTTGGTTGTTTTTTTCACTCTTTTGCAAGAGTGCACCTAATGACCAAACATCAGTTAGCTTGAATCAAGCCTGCACAAAATAAAGCACGACTTACCTTCTCTTCGTATTCGTCGCTTTCCTCCCCCTCATCATCTTCCTCCACATAATCTGGATCAGTCCGTCTCCCCTCGTCCTCGTCGCTTTCATCCTCCTCGTCATAGTCATCGGCCCGGCCCTCGGTCATCCGCATGTCATCGGCACGCGCATCGGATGCACCGTTGGACACATCGTGCTCGCTCAGGTCCATCTGAATGCTGCCCTCATCATCTGCAAGCTCGTCATTGCTCTCTGCCTCTTCACCGGGATAATGGACGAAGGGTTTGCCATTTTCGCAGAAGGTTAGTCGGAGGTCTTCGGTGTTCGACTTTCTCCCCCACTTGGGGGGCAAGATGAGGGCTGCCATGGCGGAGAAGGAAGATACTCAAGAGCCGACGTGTGTGGCTATCGATGCTCAAGTTGAAGGCGGAAGACCGGTGGTCGAGCCACTTCGACCGCTTAAATGCGTATCGGGCGATGCCGGTCACTGTGGGCATCACTCCTTTGTCCTCAATCTCTCGTCAAACATCCACGTAGGGACCTTAAAAGCCGTTTATTGATTTGATCCATGGCAACTGGGGTACTTGAGCTAATTCGAGCTATTTGGTGCTCGATTAAATGTAAATGAATGCCATTATCCACCAGTCCGCCCTTATCTCGAATAGTCACACTCTGGAGCTTGACGGATGACAGGGTTTTGCGGCAATTGTTCAAGCTGACTTACGTGCTCGTCGAGATTCCCCGGTTGTTCATGGCTCGTTGTATCGGCGACAATGTCGGCACAAAGCAATCCGCCGAGCAATCGGAGAGATCGTGCTCGAGATGATACACGATGTCCACATGCAATATACGCGAAGTCACCCTTCAGTCTAATGTCGCTGTTCTTCGTCATTTGCTCTCGATTCCAGAAATCAAAGGTTGCGCCCTCGATGATCCCGACCAGGCCCTGTCTTCATAGATGCTCATTCCCCCGAACTTACTGTCGCCCATACAAAATTCATACCGTCCATTTTCGACCTCCTGGTACTCTGTTGTATCAACAAACCCAGGCAGGCAGCGTCGGGGTCCAAGCTGGGTGGGCCCTGATGCTGGCAATGGTAAACAGCGACTACCACGGACATCATCTAAATTCGAACACTACTAGGGGATGTCGCTCGGACGGATGCTGAACCTCAATTCACTCCAGCCTACTCGTGGCAATCTCTTTGACATTGGAAGCTACTGCAAGCCCTTGAGATGTACCTCCTCTACGTCCTGTCCTCGTTGAGGGCGTTCCTGTGGGCAACATTGCAGTGTGAACATGTTTCGGATAGAAGACACAGGATGTCGCGAGTACTCTGGATAGATCGAGATGACATCCCATTCGCTCTGTAATTGGTCATAAATGTAACTTTCGTTGCATCTCGCCGCTACACAAGAGTCAAGAACCGAAGTGTCTTCAACTCAAACCGAGTCGTCTGCCAATTTATGCTACATTCGTTGCCCGGCCATCGATACACCACGAAGGGGACTGGAGACCCACATCCGAGCGCTCTCCATTCCCGCACGTGTACTTTACGACGAGCAATTGCTGACGATAACCAAAGGCTCAAATGCCCGTCCCGATTGCACTAACATTGGCGGCATGAATACGCGGTCTGTGAGCCTACGACCATAGGCCGCCGGATCTGCGCGACTTTCGTGGGCATATTCTATTGACGTAGGCGGCGTAGATACGCGGCCCATGAACCTGAGACAGATCACCGCTGCCTCTCCTCGACTCTCGTGATCGGATGGTTCCCCTCGCGCGGCATAAATTAATGGTGGTGTGTGATGCAGCTCATTACCTACCTGCGGCGCTGAGTTCAGGACCTTCCTTATTTTCACCGCATGCAACAATGCCCTGAGTGCCAGTCGCGATCTCTTTCAGTCTCGCTTGGATACCATACAATTTCTACGTCGTCGTGGTTGGTTGATTGTTCTCTGATCTCAGTCATCTATTAACCAATGCGTAGGTGAGTCTCCTGTGGTTATCATGATGTCTTCCTATGAGACCACCCACCTCATCCGAGTCATCTGAGTCAGACACAGACTCAGAGTTGCTATCAGCCCCAAAGGTGTCGAGATCTTCGTCATCCCACTCCCACTCCCATTCAACAGGATCGTAGGGCTCGTCGTCTGTGGTGGCAATAGCCAACGCGCGAAGAATCCTTCTGAGGTTTCTCTTCTCTTGGGTGTCATGTTACACTTGCGTTCCTTGACGGCCATTCGAAGAATGAAGTGGAAGTGACTGCAATATCCGCCTTCGTAGTCAGAGTAAAGTTGAGGCTGTTCTGTGCCACCCTTCTTATTTCCGGCTGTCGCCGATGGCCTTTGTGCCACTTACGGATTTAGGTCGGTGGCGCGATATGCCCAAAGGGCGTTCATCAACTATGCATCTGACTCATAATATATGATTGGCGGCTCTCTTCAGAATACGTTAGTAACTTCATTGAACCTAACCCGTGCACCTTCCACTCAGGTCTCACCATCTATACACCACTCCTAGGCAATGACGATAGGGAATACCCCTTGGTACACGCCGTTGAGTCAGGCAACGTAGAATCACCGGAACACTTGCCCTAGTTACTGGCGGACTGAATACACGGTGAATCTGCGGCGAGATGCCGCTGGGACTGCACGGTTCGAATACACGGTGTTCCGTCCGACTAAAACGAGTCCCTGACAAATGGTACAAAACTCTTTCAAGCACCCCTAATTGTCGCTAAATAAGTCTCTGCAGTGGAAGAGCTCGCCTCCTGGTCTTAAAGAGATTCGGGACTATACATCAAGCCCAGTTCCTGTAACATCAAGATATCAAGGTACTCTTCATTTCGACAGAGGTGGAAGCTGATGTTGGTTGTCCCAAAGCAATAGCTATGCTACGTCCAGCGGAGCTACGCCTCCAGTAGGGATATAGCTTTGTGCAAACATGCATTTATCACTAACTGAATCTTCGGGCCATACTCATCTCAGCAATCTTTCTGACTTCATCCATGGTTAATCCGAGGCCGTACGGCGGCTTAGCGAGAAGGAGTGCATACTCGGCTAACAGATTTGTGCGGAACACAAGCTGGTCATCGGTCTATGAGAGGCAGTAGCAAAGGTGATCAGTAGTAATTCAGCATAATACCGGCATGCAGACAGTACGTACACATATAGCTATAGGATGATCTTGTTTCAGGTAAAAGCGAATGTGGTGATCCTCGAGACTCTTCACGGTTTTGCATCTAAGAAGAGAGAAGGACACAAGAGTGTCATCCGTGTTAGCCTGTCGGAAAATAAAAGCTTACAGAAGGTTGCTTGTGAGGCAAAGCTCAACGGCTATATCTTTCTCGAACACTATCTTCATGGCCTCTTCGTCGAGAAACGTTGCGTGGCCTAGCCTCGACGGTGCAAACGCGCGAAGCAGATTATCGGTCTCGGAAGTGGGATTGTCAACTGTCTGTAGAAAAATGCTGATCAGTCTTCCCACCGGTCACCTCCCTCCCGATTATTTCTCACTTCGGCGATATGGACAGTTACACCCAGTCCCGACGCCTTGGCATTTTGGAAGTGTTTGACGAACCGCTGGAGTTCCCCGGCCTGAAACAGTGGTAGCTGAGAACAAGGTAACCTTTAAGTGACAACATACCCGCGGATCACCACAGAGGTCAATACCGACGACCCTCCGCCCTTCTTCCTTCAGTGTGATGGCCAGGTTAATACATTCTTCCACGATCGTCTCGTCCATGCGTCGGTCCGTGCTAACTATCAAAGCAGCCTTGTCTGCTGGATATTTTTTCGACTTTCTCGAGCACTGCCAGCAGATAGCCACGCCTGTCCATCGACTCAGTAGCACGGGGGGG